GTAAAGAACGACCCGTAATTCAGTTTTTAAGTATTTTCCCAACAAAAACACGAGTAGATCCTTGAATTCAACACTACAGCAACGTCATGTTAAGTCAGGTGATAACCACGTGGTGATCACGCCATCAATCGCTCTCTCATGGACCCTTTCTCTCGTGGCCTGTCTGCAGCCACACCTCCCTCGTTCCTTTGACCATATTATGTATCAGTGCTTGAAATGGGTCCAAGGCATTAACATAGCTAATTTGTTAGCCATAGCTAAAATCCTTCACCATAAACTAGACTACAAGAAATTTACAAAAAATTAAAAATGTTAATCTATTTATATACTAAAATTGTTTCCTGTTGGTTTTGCTATGAAGTGGCATACTTATTGCTACGTAGAATGGACAATGTGAACAAGGTTTCAGCTGCGCATTATTATGTCAGTATTACTGCAGACTTGTTATGCGCCGTCAACTGTTTAATTTCACCCAAATTTATACAAAAATTATGTACATTACATAAGTTCATTGTACTACAAGTCAACCATTTACGTACAAACACTTGGAGGATTATATTTTTGTTATTTTATAACATCACACCATAAAGTACAAAATAACAGATACTTATGTGATGTTTTTTCGATTATATCATAACACAAAATTTCTTGTCGCCGCCTATGCAGTTTTTAATTTGTTGAAATGGAACTTCCGGTGTACTTCTCCGTTTTACAACCAGTTTCACAAAGTTGTTCTCTTTCGAAACGGTGCATCGTCGACTACTATAGTTTCACCTGGTAGCAATATTGTTTGACCGTCAACGTCAACAAAAAACGACTGTCAACGAAAAATATCAAATATTTATTTGTATTCCCACCAATGACGTCACTTGTACTTCACTCCGTTTACACCTATGAGAAGACTAAGGGAATAGTTGGCACTTTTTGCGTATTTACTAGTTTCAATACACCCCCGGGCCCGGGGAATGACCATAGCACGACTGGCCACAGTTTATTTTTACCCCTGATTCATCCATGAAATTGACTGTGTAATTTTTTGTTTTGATGTACTTAATAAAGGTGTAGTAATATCGTATATTTTCTGGAGTGAACTTTTGCTATGGTATTGTCACTAAACGTTTATGTAGCCAATCACCACTATTTAGTTCATACTTTGCTCGTAATAACCTCATATTATTA